TCAAATCGGCCTTCAGACGTCCTGTTAAAGCTGATCATTTCCCGTAAGCTGCTCGTGGGCACGTGTCAGGGAAAATGATCAGTGTTGGACTGAGGTGGAATAACACCGCGAGGCTTCATTAGAAACAACACCCAGTAGCTCCTGTCTGCACATGCTTCCATGATGCATACCTGAGAGGCAACACGGATTCTTATAAAACAATATGAACTTAAGATTCAAATGCAAATCTGTCTCCACTGAGCTGAAACCTGAACGTTTCTGGATTCTTCTGCACGCTGCTCGATATTCTTCTGATCAGATTTATCAGTAAAAACAAGCCTCTGATGTTCGTGTCCAGCTCACTGCTTCACTGGACACGAACCCCGCTCGCTCAAAGACACGACCACTCACTGCCCGAAACACACACACACACAGGGAACATCTGATTCACATAATGCTTTCCCTAGCCCGTTACCCTAAACCTCACCATAACTTAATTGTAACCCTGTCACTAAAACCACATTTTGAGTCTCAAAAATGCCTTCAAACTTGTGGGCACCAGGATTTTGGTTCAGATATGATTAGTTTCTATGTTGATTATGAAAACAAGTGAAAATCAATGCAGGACAAACACCTCGGCAACAGAAAAATAAAATCAAGAAACTCTTTTTCATGCCAGATTATGAATTAAGTGTCTTGTTATAAAAAAAACTTTAAGCTTCCAGTGAATTTATGACTGTTCGCTTCTCTCTCCGAGGTCTGCAAATTTCCTGAAAAAGATGCTTTAGCTGTATGTTAACACATAGAGTTCATGAGCATTTTAATGCACATTTCTGATGATTGTTACAAACTATCTTTGTAACAATCATCAGAAATGTGCATTAAAATGCTCATGAACTCTATGTGTTAACATACAGCTAAAGCATCTTTTTCAGGAAATTTGCAGACCTGCTTCCAGTCACCTTTGCTGAAACAGTGCTGCAAATTATGTGATGTTCCTAAACCCCGTGAGTTTGTGCATCCTCACACAGAGACCTGAGTGACTATAGACCAGTTTGCAGAGGATGTCGCGGTTACATCACTGCAGGTGCACGCACATTCTGGTGGCAGATGGGCGGGAAAGAACAGGAGAGACCCGGGGAAAAGTAAAAAAAAAAATAAATTTGTGTCCCTGAAAGTCAGAATAGGAATATTAAAAATAAAAAAGATGCTGTTTTTCTGCAGTGCTTTAGTTGAAAATGCTCTGAGGGGAAACATTTTGGGTGTTAGCAGGTTAACTGGAACATATGAACATTTTTAACTTGAATAATAAGCGTTCGTGTTACGATAAATTTGACAGCACTGCACACTCGCCCACTGCACCAAAAAATCAATCAGCAAATCAAATATTAAAACGTCATCCAAGAGTTTTGATCGCTGTTTTTTATAGACTCTGGGGTTTCATACCAAGGTGCTGAAGCAAAACCAGAGAAATCAGTGCGAAAACCTGGAAATGTTGCCTGTTGCCTCGAGTCAGCTTTTTTTCTGGGTTTTTGGTCAGGTGCCTAAAATGAGCTTTGTGGTTAACACGAGCTTTAGACACACTCATGTTCTCTTCTACAACATAAAACACCCGAGTAAGACATTATCGGGGACGTTCAGCATCATCACAGCGCACACGGGAGCTTAGTGGTGGTGACGCTGAAATCATGCACCCATGGTGTTCGTTTGCAGGCAGCTAGAAATGCATTTACAAGTCAAAAAAACTTCAAATTTGTGTCAGTTTCTGTCGTTGGGGTGAGAAGCATTTTTGTCCTGACGTGGAAAAGAATGAAGTGGACGATCAGACATGAGCATAACAGGAAGTGAACCTCCGTCTCTCTGTGTCCTGCTTTCATCCAACCTCCTCTGATAGTCAGAACTCTTATCGCTCATCAACATGCAGCTACACGTCTGCACTTGACTGCTGCAATTAACACAGACGCACACCGTGAACACACATCTGGGCGGTCAGAGGTCAGTTTAAGGACATTTTAGAGGTTCGTCCTGCTGACACACAGTAGCTTAGATTGCCTACATATCATATAACCATGTTTCCAGTGAATGGGTTGCAAATAATATAAAGTGTTTTAATTTGAATAACATAACACAAAATATGAAATGCTGTAAATGACAAAATGTATAATGATCTGGCGTTGGATGCATGCCAAATACAAAAAATGTTGGAAAAGATGCAACAAAAAGCTGGAGGAGACAACTCCCAACCACTCGGGTCAGTTAATATCATGTCTGTGTGGGAAAAGGATCCGGAGAGGTCGAGTCTTTCAGGAGGAAAAGATAGTGAGGGGAAATTTTTAATTTGACGTCATTCAGAAATTCTGCAAACACTTAAACTAAAGTCAGTGAATGCAGCTCATCGCTGCAAACTCGCATGAACTTCGAACCTCAGACCGAGAGGAAAACCGCCCTCTGCTAAAAAGAGGAGACAGCGCAGTGTTCCTGCACAGAGCATTAGCTTACTCGTCTGTGATGGAGTCATTAACGCTGAAGAAAAATGTGGCAAATTGTGACATTAAAAACTGGGAACCTCAAAGCAGGCCCAGTTTGACATCTGAATTTCTGTATTAAGCAAGAACAAGGAAACCACAGCGGCTGGTCTCCTGACTTCCCAAATGCTCCCAGAGTATTGGGACATCGAGGGGAAGCATGCATATCCTATTTTCAGTAAACCCAGCTTTTAAATAAATTGCAAACTCATGTAGTTTGGTTTTATTTGCATTTTCCACAGCATCCAAACTTCCTATTTGGAACTGCAGTGCTGAAGGCAGGATGAGAGGTTGATGGCGCTGCCTAATGTGGAGATTTTCTGTCAGAGTGTGACACAATGGGAAAGGGTGGAGATGGATGGGTGGAGGGCTGCCTTTTGGTTTCTGTGTGCATGTAAACCACAAACCGCTAATGCTCAGCAATTTGTGGATTCTGACTCTATTTCACCTTCTGAAGCTCCAGTTACACCCCGCCGACGGCCAAACACGCCGCTTCAAACCACCACCGTCTCCTTCTGACGGGCAAAACGTGACGTCTCATCCTACAGCGATGGCGTCTCTGTGTGGAGCTTCATCACGTAAGTGTGAAGAACTGCAACACGTAACTGGATTCAGGCTTTTTTCTGGGAATAAAGTCCAATCATGTCTCACTCTGAAAGCTGCGAAGCTGAAACGCCAGAATAAACTGCTGAAACCTCTGAGTATTCATAAGGCTTTACACTACGCTGCTTAATTTCATGAGATTTTGTGGTTAAGCTCTAAATCGTGTCACATTCAGCAGCCCTCAAATCTGGAAATGAGTTTGCAGTTTCTGCACTTCCTGTTCGCTCATCGTAAAGTCAGCTGCACCGTCAGTTTCAGGGTCCCAGTCGCACTCATGTTTAAAGCTTCCTAAAACTTCCTGCATGCACCTTTGGAGGTCTACACGTCTAACAGAGCACAGAGCAGAGACCGTGTGCCAGCGGGACAAAGAAAAGCACAGAGTTTGTTTTGGACTTTACATTCAGATTGATTTGCTTTGACTACGAGAAAGAAGTCGATGGAATGATTCACATTGTTTCAGCTCTACAAGTGATTTCAAACCCACGGTCTGAGGATGGAAAGTCCCATTCCAGGGTTTTGCAACAATCTTGTCGTCTTTGGCTTCCTCTTGATTGTCTTCACCTGTGTCTAATTGTCAGTTAGCCCTCAGTGTGTATATCCTGTATACTCTCAATGTCTGTTTAGTGCTGTTTATCTCCTTTATCAGGCTGTCGGCATTAAGCTT